TCAGACCACACTTCAGCAAGTGTTGGACTGTACAGATCAGGCATGCTTAGCACAGCATGTCAAGTCCAAGACTCAACAACAAAACAAGTTTATCTTACTGATAACTCGTCAAAACCATCACAATTCCAACAACACATTCTGTGGAAGACAACACTCCAGTAGACAGTTACATGCCAGGGAGACAGAAAAGTGGGTGAAGAATTTATCTGACAGACAGCTCACCCAGCCGGAGACAGAGATTCTTGCCAGGGGACTGAACTTTGCGGTTGCACCAAGTAGAATTCCTCTGGTGGAGATGATCACAGCCACAGAATCAGCCATCCGCAACAACAAGTCTTTTTTGTTTCATGAGTACCCAAGGACAAAAGCTTCACCCCCCCCCCCCCCTCCCAAGAACTTTCTGTGCAAACTTATCAGAACTGTCCACTGAAACAACATCTTCATAAACTGTGGCTGATCTGAAAAAACGCTCATGGACAAATCTCAACACCTTGATGTCAAATGCAAATGTAATCATGTTTTACGTGTGCTGCTGGTAGAGTTTTTTGATGTCTCAAATCGTGTCCTGATAGACAAGATGGGAAAGATTTTTTTTTGTAATACCACTATCTACCCTTATGTTTCTATCCCTTTTCTATCTAAGATTATTATCTGATAAGGATAAAATGGCCACGCTCTCCTGTAGTTGCAGCTTCGTGCACTCCGTCCATCTTTCGGGTGACTGTACGTACATATTCGCGTTGTACCTCGGTGCAATCCCAATAGTTTATTCTGATTCTGATATATTAATTAAATTGTTGTTGGTCAGTAAACTGACCAGCTGGTGCCCCACTTTAATTAATGATAAATAAATAAAACAAATGTAGTGGAGATGAGATGGAAAAGGTGTCACCCTTCTTCCTCCATCTCACCCTTCGTTATTGCTACAAGCTTGTATCCTGAGGCTGTTAGACGCATGAATCCCTAGTCAGGATTATCACTGTGAAAAAAATCACTGTAATGCCACTTGATTGTTGATATGTGCTGCTGACTATCCATGATGCTGATCTCATGCTGCTGATTTATTTCATGCTGCTGTGTTTATTCGTCCTCATCTGCTCACACAGACTCATGTTCGTGCTGCTGTTGTTTGGCACATTGTTTCGTACTAGTAGTGCTTAGTGTATTCTTAGTTCATGTCTTGGATCTTGTTACTGTTTTTCTTTACAATTTGTATTATTTTTGGATGTAACTGGGACCCTGTGTACATAATTTCGTTCCACCTCATGTACCACATGTGATGTGAAAGACAGTAAAGACACACTGACCTTGACCTTGACAGCTGAAAGAACAAATTCATTCATTCAACCTTTATTTCTACAGGTAAATCCCATTGAGCCTCGAGGACTCATTTACAAGAGAGACCTGATTTAACAAAGAGTGATGACAACAATGGACAACAAATGATCCTTCATAGCACCCTCAGTAAAATGCTTAGCACCTGCAGAATAATATCTCTGGAGCCGCCACTGAGTGTGATGATTAGAATAGATGTGCGGACGTTTTGGGTAAAACCAAACGACTAACAAATTATTAGTAATAAAGGTTGAATGAATGAATTAAAGGCTATGCTTAAGTTATCACTTTCAACATCCACATGAATATTGAAATCACCCATTATGATGATTTTATCAGTATTTAATAATAAGTCAGTTAATAATTCTGAGAATTGGGACAAAAACTGAGAGTAAGCGCCTGGTGGACGATATATAACAACTAGTAAAAGTGGCTTTTCTGATTTCCATTTTGGATGAGAAAGACTGAGGGACAGTGATTCAAAAGAATCATAACTAATAACTGGTTTGGCATTAATCAATAATCCTGACTGAAAAATAGAAGCTACTCCTCCACCTCGGCCAGTTGTTCTAGGAACATGAAAATTTAAATAATTAACAGGAGTGGATTCATTTATACCAACAAAATCCTCCTGTTGTAGCCAAGTTTCTGTCAGACACAATAAATCAATATGATGATCAACAAAGTCCATGCTCAATAATCCAGGTATACAATCCAACATTTTTCAGTCAGGTCATCTGGACAGTTTCTTTTTTTTTGGTGCTGAAACGTTTTGCCTTCCATCCAGAAGGCTTCATCAGTCAAGGAAACACAACAAAACTGATTCTTCCCCCAACAGCTTACTCCAAAGTGGAACAAACCAGTTTTGTTGGTGCTAAAATGGTCTCTTTGGTACACCCCCTTGGTGGTTCTTCTCAGGTGGATCAACTGGTTGATCCACCTGAGAAGGTGCTATTTATAAGACTGAGTTGAATATAGCACCTCAGGCTGAGGAAGTCTTTCGGATGAAAAACGAAACGTTTCTATATTTTTTGTTGTTGTTTTGCTTTGTTTTGTTTTTTGAATGTCCAGAGGACCAGATTTAACTTTTTTAGAAAATCAGCCATAATTCTAGAAAGAAGAGCGGCTCCGTCCAAAGAGAGATGGGTGCCATCTCTCCGCATCAGACCGGGTTTTCCCCAGAAAGAACTCCAGTTATCTGTGTAGCCCACGTCGTTGTCAGAACACCACCTGGACACCCAGCGGTTAAACGACCACATACAGCTAAACATGTCATCGCTGGTCAGGTTGGGGAGGGGGCCGGAGAAAACTACAGAGTCCGACATGGTTTTATAAAGTCACACACCGAAGCAACATTAATTTTAGTGACCTCCGATTGACGTAACCGGGTGTCATTACCGCCGACGTGAATAACAATCTTACTGTATTTAACCTTAGCCTTAGTCAGCAGTTTCAGATAAGATTCTATGTCGCCCGCTCTGGCCCCCAGAATGCATTTAACTATGGCCACTGGAGTCCCTAAAGCCACGTTTCGGACTATGGAGCTTCCAATAACCAGGGTCTACTTCTCAGCGGGTGTGTCCCTGAGCGAGAAAAATCTATTAGAAATGTGAACGGGTTGGTGGTGAACTGGGGGCTTAGTCTTAGCACTACGATTGCTCCGGACCGTCACCCAGCCGGTCTGGGGTCCCGGCTGCTCGGGGTCTGCTGGAAGATCGCCACTAACAGGAGCTAGCCTCTGTGGTTCCGCGCTGCTTAAGGGGACCTGGCTAGCTACTGGTTTTTCTGCAGCGCGGAGCTGAGCTTCCAGTTCAGACAGCCTCTCCTCCAAAGCTACCATAAGACTACATTTGTTACATGTATCATTACCACTAAAGGAGGCAGAGGAGTAACTAAACATCTGACACACAGAGCAAGTGAGAACAGAGGAAGCAGGGAGAGAAGCAGCAGCCATGCTAAGCTAACGCTAGCAGGAGCTAGCAGAGCCAAATACACCAATGAAAACTGAGAAGTGTTGAAAGATGAAATGTGTTTCAAGTACTATCCAACAGTAGAAAAAAACGCTGTATTGAGGGTGTTTGTGAACTAGAATGAAAAACTGCAACAAAAAAAAACAGACATCCAGAAAACAAGACTCCTCAAGCAAACAAATTACTCAAGCTACCGGCAGAGAAAACAGGAAGTGACACAACACGACTCAACACGAACGTGCAACATCAGGAAGGAGGAGGAACAGTGCCTCCCAGCACAGGAGGGATACAACCAACCCGTTCTATCCACGGAGGTCCCACCTCGCAACTTCCAGGACATAAAGGATCTGCTGCTGATGGTTCAGATATTCCAAGGGACCCTCAGAGGTCCACAAGAAACCATCAGATGTTCACAGACCATCACAAATTAGGAGGTAGTTTATTGTTTGAAAAAAGGACAAAACAAACAGAAGAAGAACCCACCACAGAGGGAAGGTCCTCTTCTTGTCCCGACCCAGACGGTTCCTGTTGATGGTGGTTGAAGAAGGAACGGCATCTAAATGATGAGAACTGTTGGGTAACGTAGGAACCCACTGACTGCTCCGCTTGGCCTTCTGCTCCCTGAAAACAACCAACATAAATGATCCAAAACAAGTAGCTTTAATTCTGTCTTAGGGGAAGAAAAGAGTCTGAAGGTCACCTGAGACAGAAATCTGCCTGCATACCTGAGGTAGGCGGGCGGCTCGGTGCTGATGGACACAGCCTTGTACTTCTCATCGTTTCCTTCAAAGATCTCTTCACACTCTGACGCCTTCAGCAGTGTCACGCTGGTGGCTGAACAAGGAGACAACAAAACCAGCTGGGTTTAAATCAGCTTCCTTCAAGTTCTGTCAGAGCCTTCAGTGTGTGAGATGAAAAACCGATCTCACCGTGTGATGAAGCCATGATCTTCTTCCTCTCTTCCACTGAGGCTAGCCTCCTCCATAACGAAGGATATCGTTTATAAAGAGAACCTCGGAACATCCGTAGGTAGTTCCCCACCTGGACGAGTCATCAGAACCACAGAACATCAGACTTAAATCCAGAAAGTTCTCTTTGATTCTTTCTGTCAGTTTAATGGGAAACAAAAATGTGAATTTGTAAAGGAAGTTAAAATAAAACAGAATACAAATCAATTCAGTTTTAACTGAGTGTATGTACGACAAGTAACAACAGGTCATATCAGGGCACTGAACAGAAACATTCACATATACAATATACACACACACACTATATATATATATATATGTATATAT